AATCTGGACACCACAGGGGGCTGTCCTATGTTTAACATGACAGAAGACGCCTCGTCAAGTTCGCACTTGTTTGGGGTCACCGAAAACAAGCTCATATTTCTTCTATCGCTCCTTGCTGCCTGCGTAGCCTGCGTACCCGAAAGCCATCCGAAACACTCCAATCCTGCAAAGCATCTGGAAGCCTGATCAGAGGCGAAAACAGCGCCCTGGTCGAGACGTTCATCCTGCAAAACCCGCAGAAGATCTCGAGCTTGGTGAACACTCGAACTGCATCGACATGATTCTGCAGTTCCGATGTCAGCAACGAACATCACCAAAACCCCAACACGCGCGCTAAGACGGAGCTTCTTTGCTCACGAACAATGGTGGGCAAGCGTTAGGTCCACAGCCCTAGCAGTAGTAGTGGTGGTAGTAGTAGTAGTAGTAGTAGTAGTAGTAGAGTAGGAGTACGAGCAGGAGCAGGAGCAGGAATTGGAGTGGGAGTAAGGGTAGGGGTTGGAGTAGGAGCAGGAGTCCGAGAAAGGAGGGGAGGAAGAGGAGCAGGAGGAAAGGGTCTTTGTTTTGGGGTTTCACACCCCCCACAAACGCTAAAGCCCTCTTTGCGGGTGTTGTTGGTTCGTAGAACCTTTGTTTGTTGCACAGGATGTATTGAGGGTGCTTCTAGTGTTGTCTGGGGTTTTGACTCCGATGCAGTGCTATGTTCAGAGACGATCAAGCATGAGAGGACGCGTAGTTCCGGTTTGGCAGGTAACGGAATTGTGGACGAGTATCACGTCATCCGCCATGTCTGCAACCTCGAGGCTTGCCGCCAGGGTTAGAAACTGCACTCGGACGGTGTCCACAGCAGGCTGTCAACACCTACGAGGGCACAGCTGACATCCATTCTTTGGTGCTAGGCTGGGCTCTCCATGACCTTGGTTTTTGATTGAAAGTGTGCTGCCCGTCGCTCGTTTTAGGGATATGGGTTTATCTGCCGTTTTATTTAGTTTCGCGTTGCGGTTGGTGTGCTTACGCTTTGCAAGGCTCCATTGCATGCGTTTGTTTGCTTTGCCATCCGCTTCTGCTTGAGTCCGGCAATGGTTGCCAGTTCCAATAACCGCTTTTTGCGGCACATGTCCTGCAAGAAGTATGGCGCGCAATCCATCCCGTTGCTTTAGGGCGTAAGGTTTGCTGCTCACGATTCGCTTCAGTGTATCAGGGTGGCTGGTTCCATGAGTCGTTTGTGGGTGTCTGTTCAGGCATTTTCTTGTCGGTTATCGGTATTTTGCTCTTGGCAGCTAAAATTGCTGCGGATTCAAATGTGGGTTTGGGATTGACACAGACATCATCGCTCCGTTGATCATGGTTTGCTTGTTGATGCGAACGGTTACAATATGCATTTTGGCGCTATGTTAGTAGTCGGGAGTGATCGTTCATGGGCTTTGGGCGTAGGTTCCGGGCACTGCGCTGATTGCAAGGTCTGAGGCCATGGATCACCCGTCGCTTTAGGGCTTAAGGTTGCTACCCGTCGCTTATTTTAGAGTTTGAGGTTCATCCCGTCGTTGTGTTTAGTTTCATTTTGGGCCTGTGACGAAGTGTTCTCAGAGTCTGAGTAGCTTTTGGTTTCCAGCTTGCTGTGCAATCATCGCTTTAGCATCTCAGAGGTTTGCTGCTGCCATCGGACATGAGTTAATTAGCGGATGCGGGGTTTGCACTGTTGTATTTCAAGCGTTTGTCCATCGATCATTTCAGGTTTTTGCGGTCTGCTCCCATTCTTTTGTTGTTGGGTTCAGGGCTTGCTAGTTCGAAACGGTGTTTCAGGGCACATGGCAACACCCGAAACGAGGTCGTGCGATAACTGGCATCCCAGCCTTCAAGTGACTGGTTTTCTCGTTCGATAATGTCCAGGGGCCAGACTCGGCCCGTCTCGGCCAAAGCTTCTTGGGCTTGGCTCTTTCAGCGCAAAATGCGCGGAGTCTGTGGTCAACTTCCATTAGGATTTGAAAGCTGCACTTTTCCCGGTGGCTTGGTGTGGACGGCGTGTCGTTGCTGTCCTCGCGTTTCAAGCAGGCAGTGCTAGCGGCTTACCCGATTTCTTTTGTAATTTGCGGCTGCAGCCACACGGGCTTATTGCAAGGATGCAGCTAACTGTTTAAGGCAGTATCGTTTTCTTGCCGCGCAATCCGAAAACATCTGTAGATGGAGTCAGGGTTCTCTGACTTGACATGGAACACACGCAGTAGACATGAGACAATTTCAAGCGCTCAGCTCCGTACCGTCGAGACCAGTGCACCTATCGGATTTCAGAAGCCAAGAAGCTGACGCATGGTTTGCTGTCAGAGATCTGCTCAGCATGTTTGCTCTTGTGTGCATACATGGGCAGCATCGTGGGAGATGTATAGTGTTCTGTATTCTGTTCAGCAAGGCTTTCACGAGGACGGAGGAGTAACGGACATTTTGGGAACTCAAAGAAGTGGGTCCATCACAAGCATGGAGCCGACGGTGGACCAGATCTTGTCCAGTTCTCAGCGTTCGCTTCGTTGGGCTCAATTCGATGAACTCTTCTTTCGTCAGCTTTGCTTCCTGGCGCTATCTTTTGCTGTCCCCGTATTATCTATGTTACGATCATGGCTGTATATACGTGCCTCTACTCGGGGGGTCAGGCACAGAAACAAATTTCTCTGTATCAGGCTCTCCGGCGGATCCCTCTTGCGCACCCCTGGCCGGAGCTCTTGTAGATCCGATCTGGAGAAGGCACGCGCAGGGCTCGCAGCTTGCGGAGTTTCGTAGGTTAGACAGTGTTAGACAGAGGTGCTCACTCTGAATGCCAGGCTATGATTCCCGGGCTGTCTTGGCACGGCAGATCCAATGAGTGGCTCGGAAGGGTCTCAGCAGCCAACTTCCTCTAAATCTGGGATGCTCTGGTTTCCACCATTTTCCACGGTAGCTGCCCTGCCGCATTTTTTCAGGTTGACGGCGGCCAGCGCTGTGTCCATGCTGCCCCAGCTGCAGGACGAACAAGAATGTCGTTGCACTGCTGTGTGGTCGAGAAGGTATGCGGCGTCAAGTGAAGAGGCCAAAGAAATCATGAGCAGCAGGCATGGTTTCAGATAAGCCCGCAATAGGCGAAACCTTGGTGTGATCGTCATGGCAGTGCCGTTTTTGGCTCGGGGTTTGGTTTCAGGGCTGTGCGGGCCGAGTCCCAACCTGATCCCGGCCCCGGGTCCTGCGCTGCTTGGAAGCGCCTGGATCTCAGCCGAGACTTCGGAGGTTCGGCGGAGATTCAATGCCTCTTGCAAGGCAACGCTTGGAACGATGCCTGCAGCCAGGTCGGCTACGGGCATGTGGGGGGACGGGGTGGCCACCTTTCGACAATGGCCTGCCAGACCTGCCAGGCAGCGATGCGAGCGTCACATCTGTCTTCTGCTTCTTGCAGCGCTGTTGGTGCCTGCAAGGGCGTTGGAGGTGCGACTCACGGTGCTCAGGTTGCAAAACACTGCAGACTTGACGGAATGCTTCTGAGTGGAAGAGCTGGTGGCAATAATTTTTCCTTTCTCAGCACTCTCGCGCCGCCTCGAATTCGGTCCGAGCTCAGCTGATTGCAATCGCTAGAGACTTTCGAGCAGAGTAGACGCAGAGTAGACGAATCGTGCTTTTGCGTTTCTTTGCGTTTCGTTTTGCGGCGATGGCCTCCTCGGCCAAGGGCCGCTCCTGGGATGCCATTGGTCTGGCGACGGCCTGGCCGCCTAAGGAAGTCACGAGGCCTTCCTCCGACTCAGCGCTGTTGACCGCAGGTGGGTTTCTTGGGCGTCATGGGGGTCCGACGGCGGGCGGAGTTACCACATCGCTCATCGCCGCAGGAGTGGGCAGGAAAGTCTTCACAGGCAGTTCTCTTCATCTCTTGACTGCGAAGTGCAGGAGCTCTCTTTGCCTGGCCATGTTTGCATCGTCACGGGCGCCTCTGGAGGGATGGGCGCCGAGGTCGCGTGGGGACTGGCCGAGGCGATGCCCTGCGGCCCCTCGGCGGCCTCACTTCCGTTCGGTGCCTTCGAGCCAGGCTGGGGCGAGCCGGGTGCTGATGGCCTGCCGCAACCTCGAGCGCTGCGAGCAGGAGCTCTCCTTCCGACTGTGGGCTGTTCCGTGCTGAAACGTGGCCCGACCCGCGGCAGGCGCGCGCCAAGATGTTCTCACGATGCGTCAGCTCCCTGGATGGTCCAGGACGCGTTGGATGTAAGATGTTCTTCCTGCTTTTCGGCCATGTAGCATTTTTCTCATGCCTCGGCATCTCGAATCAGCCGGACTAAAGGTCAAGCCAGGGTGCGCATGTGCGGGGGAAGGGGAAACCTGCGGACCGATTTGACTGGACTTGCAAAGCGAATCGTCTGTTGTCTGCTCGCAGGCGCTTCCGTGACGGAGCGGTCGGCTGCCAGCTTCCGTGCAGCCAGGCAGGACATAGACGAAGAGCCTGTGGAAGCGGCAGCGTGTGACAGTGATCCAGAGTTGTTTTTGGTTTTGCCGGGCTTCGGAACGGCAGAAGAGTAAAGCAGTGCAAAAGAATGCATCCTCATCCAAGAAGCTAAGACCAAGCTCAAGCCGACTCCGGCAAAATGCTGCACAGCCCAAAGAATGCAGATCGTTGTCCTTGCGTCGTAAACCCTCGCGTCAGCTTGTTGGGAGGAGGCGACAGTGTCAGGAACTTCAGCGGCGCTTGGAGTGCAAAACCCTGGACTTGACAGACTATGAGCACCTCGGTAGTCGTATGGAATGTCTGTGATTCAAGCTGTGACAGGTTCCATTTGGTCAGAGATTGGGTTCAAACTAATTTGATGCAGAGGTCTATCGAAGCCTTCGCAAAGGATTCTGCAAGCTCGGGTGCGCAGCAGATTGTGTTGGTCAACAATGCGGGTGTGATGGGGGATGTCGAAGATTCGGAGAATACCGGCGACGAGCTCGTGGACATGCAGATGCGCACCAATCACTACGGTCATTTCCTTCTGGCTAAACTGCTGCTCCCCAGCATGGACTCATCATCTATCCTCGTGGTAGTTGCCAGTCGGGCGCATCGACAGGGGTCTTTGACAATCACAACCCGTGACCCTGGTCTTCTTCTGAGGAGCGAGGAGATTCAGGGCTCCCCTCCCTACGCTCGTTTGTTGCATGCCCTTGGGCTGGGGTGGTATGCGCGCTATGCTCGGTCGAAGCTCTGCAATGTCCTCTTTGCCGCAGAGGTGCGCAGAAGATATCCTGATGGACCGATAAGCGTTGCAGTCTCCCCTGGGCTCGTCAACACCGGAATTTTTGCATCTGTGCCGGAGCCTCTGGGGAAGGCATTGTGCTGGTGTGCGGAGAGGCTGTTTCAGACTCCGCAGGAGGGAGCTGGTCACATCCTTGCGGCAATCGCAGCTGCGCGAGCTGCACAGACGCAGTCGGTGCAGTCTGCAAAGGGGGAGGATAGCTCAGGGCTGCGAGAGCTGCCGCTGTACTGGCATTGTGGAGAGGCGCAGGAGCCATCCAAAGCAGCCTTGGATGCAGGCCTAGCCGAGGCACTTTGGCGTGCCAGTGAAGAGGCCGTGACGAGATAAGAGGATATCACGGAGTTCTGCGGCAACCAGGGCCTGAGTGGTGCAGATCGCCCGCGCTTTCCAGACTCCCAGCGCAGGGGCATCCACTTCTTCATCTCGGAAACAGCAAAGGGGCCTCAGTGACTCGGTGAGTCTGCAAGGCTAGACCTTCGAAATGCAAGGCGCAAGTTCACCCTACGGCAAACACCTCTTGCAGACAGTGCTCGGGCATCTCCATATTTGCAACATACAAAGAACGGGCAGCTGTGCTGACGAAAAGTGTGCAGGATTCGGGCAAGTTTTAGGCTAAAGGCCATCGCTAATGGAGAGTCTCAGAATCAGTGGATCGCCAGGCGATCGACCTCCACGACGACCCAAAGCCGCATGAAGGCAATGTATCGCATACACTGCCCGTGCGGGCCTCTGGCAGATGTCTCGACAACGATCGGTGTGATGCCAGCGCTGTACGCTTGCAGCACAAGACACGCTCAGAGGCTTTGAGAACCTGAAGCTTGGAGCTCGGAACCGCTCAGGTGACGACGAGGCCACCTAGCACCAAGCCTCCGGCGGCGATCCTGCGAAGTGTGGCAGAGGCAAGGGCAAGACAGAACAGTTGGGATGCTACAGGATTGTCGTGAAACACACGTGTGTGTGCAGTAACATGCGGGAAGCGGCGAACGCTGTAGCTTCTGCACCTCGAGACGACGAGCTTTTTCATTTAGCCTCCTCTCGACGCTATGGCCTCCAATCGCCAGTATGCGCCGATGCAGCGGAAGGCACCACCACAGATGCCGCCGCAACGCGCCGAGGCGCCGGTGCCGGAACGCGGCCTTGGCCTGGCGGTGGCGCATCTGCGGGTGGTTTTGGAGGAGGGTCGCCGAGGTGGATGGCCGGCCTGGTCCGCCCTGGCCGCCGAGCTGACGATGGAGGACAGGACGGCGCTCGCCGAGCTGGTCGCCGCCCTCACCATCGTTCCTCCTGGGGTGGCGCCGAGTCCAGACGCGGTGGCAGCACACATGGGACGTCTCTTGCCCGCCGTTGCGGCCCAGGCAGGTGGTCCAACGACGAGCACGCCGGCCCCGACTTCAAGCACTCCCGGGACGCCGACCATGACACGATCAGCCTCTACGCCGGTCTTCCCTGGAGCATCGCCGGCTACATGGGCGGGGCAGGTGAATTGGAACCCGCCGGCCTCCCTTTCCACTTCGCCGGCTGAAGGAGTATCGGCCAGCGTGTTCCTCGACGCCCCCGCGCCGGACCGCACAGGGGCGGCCTTCTTGGCCACAGGCGCGCCGGATACAGCTTGGGCACGCCAGCCGTCTGGTTTGACCGCCGAGACCATTCGCCGCAACCTGGCGAGGATGGAGGCCGAGTCGGCGGCCGCCTCAGGAGCTCAGACGCCGGGTGTCGTGATAGAGATCGACGCTGACGGGCGGCGTCGCCGGGTGCCGCCGCGTGGAGCAGCTGAGCGCCCATCGAGGCCGACATCGCCGCCGAGGAGCCGGACGACGGAGCAGCAGCCCTACACGCCGATGTCTGTGTCGGCGGCTACCCAGGCTACCGACGAGGTCCTGAACGACGCGGCGATCAGATTGGCGATGTCCAACCGCAACAACGCCGGGTCCGACGTCGACATGGTGGACACATCTAACCAGCAGACGCCGGTGGCGACGGGCAGCCGGTCTATCTTCCCTCCCATCGTCGCCGACAATGCCGAGCACAGGGGCCGAGCACATCGCCGACATGGAGAAAGACCAGCCGCGGCGGGTGACCCAGCACCGCCGGCGCCGATCCCGGACATGGCGCCGTTGGAGGCGAGACCGGTGCCGTGGACCCCAGCTCAGCCGACGACTTCGCCGTTGTCATCGGTGCCTTCTACCCCGGGAACCTTCCCGCCGGTGCCTCCTCTGACGCCGTTGACACAGAGCAGGGCGCCGTCGCCACCAGCGCCAGAGAGGACTACCCCGAGACGCCGCTCCAAGGATGCCAGGGGCAGCTCCCAGACGCCGCGAGGTGCATCGCCTTCGTTGGGGCCGACCCGCCGCTCTGGGACGGTCGGTCTGCGGTCGAAGCTCAGCAACGCCGAGATCGGCGAAATCCAAAGGAATCTTCCTGAGGATTATCGCCGATACAAAGACCGGATGCATGCCCGCGGGGCGGTCGCCGAAGACGCCGCGCAGCAGTCAGTGCGCCACCTGGCCAAGCCGACGATCGAGGATGTGATCGCGACGGAAGAAGCGGCGGACGCCGGGGATGCCGCATCAGTGCCGAAGGTCCCGCCGATGGAGGCGCCGACCTTCTGTGCGTATTGGTTCTCCCGCCGCCTGCCAGAAGGCTTTCTCGGCGCTCGCGTACCCTGGGAGACCGAGGGGCATCGCCGCAGGGTGGCGGGATGGTGTGCACATCCCTGCACCTGCCCGGGGTGCCCATATGTCGCCGAGTGCCGGGAGCTCACATCCGCCGGTCGCGGCCGCTGCCTCAGGCCCATCATTATTGAGAACGGCGCCGATCACTTTGACCACAACTGCGCCGCTTGCGCCGGTCTTCGGGCAGCTTGGGATTGATCGCCGCGGCCAGGTGGGGCGACGCCGCCGGATAGTGGGCGGCGCTTTGGCGGCAGGGCCTTGGGCTAGGAGATCGCCGGCATCTTTTGCGACACTCGTCGCCGTCACCGCCGGCAAGTCTGGTCCTCATCTTCGAAGCTTGCCGCCGCTAAGGCAGTCTTCCAGAGTCAGTCGCCGGACGGCGCAAAAGAAAGGGCAGTCTGCAGCCTCGCCGGTCGCGCCTTGTGTCGCCGTCGGTTGCTCTCTCTCTCTCCTCGTCGGTCGTCGCCGCCGCTGTCTTTGCCCTGGTGTCGCAGCCGTTTTGCTCTGGCTCGAGGAACCCCGCCGACGACGACGCACCGGCATTAACGGCATGGCCCTGGTACCGACGACGACGCCGGGGCACGGAACAGTCAGTGAGTTCCTCAAGCTGGTCGCCGAGGCCGGCGGCACAGCCCACTTGGCGACTTTCGCCCGACTTGGAGTTGTGAACACGCCGGCGGTTCGGGAATCCTTCCCGGTACTGCTGGACCACGGCGTGCCGGAGGCGGTACTGGTGGCGATCCTGGCCCCAGTCCCGCCGGCGACGCCGACGGCACTGGTCAGCCAGACCAGGACCGATGTCCCCGAGCGCCGGTCGACGGCCCGGGCGTCGATGACTGCGGCACTTGAGGCCATGGAGCCCAGTCGCCGCGCCGACACCCTGGCGGCGATCGACTCGAACCTGCTGGCTCAATCCACTCGCCGGGCCATGGAGTCTCGCGTGAAGATGCTGACGGCGCTCGCCGACCGCGGCAACTTCCCGCTCTTCCCCCTCGACGCCCAGAAGTTGCAGCTGATCGCCGGCGCCTTGAGGATCGGGGGCTACAGGTCGGCGGGTCTCTACTTAGACGCCGCCATGTGGCACCAGGAACATCGACTTCGAGTGCCGGTCGGCGCCGACTTGCGCCGAGCAGCCAAGTCTATTAC